ACAACGCCGTCAGTCAAAACTTTCCAAGCTTCCTCCAAAACCCCTCAGGAAGAGCTCACCTGCCTGGAGGTCACGTTGAGGATGGCCAGCAGTGGTGGAGTCTCCCCCAGGGTAACAGCGCTCCCTCCGGGCACCCTTTCTCCTTGGGACGGCAGCTGGTTTTGGGCCATCAGCCTCAAATTGCAGCACTTCTGCAGGGAACCTCCAAAGGTCTGTTGAGCTCTACTCGTCGCTGTCGCCGATGCAAATGCCCAAACTGCCAGTCCACAGGAAACGGAGGTGCTGCATTGGAGTTTGGAAAGAAAAGACTACACATTTGTCACATTCCAGATTGTGGGAAGGTTTATAAAAAAACCTCTCACCTCAAAGCGCACCTGCGCTGGCATGCTGGTGAACGGCCCTTCATTTGCAACTGGCTCTTCTGCGGGAAGAGCTTCACGCGTTCAGATGAGCTGCAGAGGCATCTCCGTACACACACCGGGGAGAAGCGTTTCGGCTGTCAGCAGTGTGGAAAACGGTTTATGCGGAGCGATCATCTCTCCAAGCATGTGAAGACCCATCAGAGCCGGAAGAGCCGGTCCAGTCAGCCTCCTCACAGCGGGACTGATGCTCTGCTGAGCAACATCAAGAGAGAGTAAAAGATGCACAAGTACTAAAAACAATATGAACAAGAGCTAAGAGAGAGAACTTTTTTAGAGTCTGGAAGTTTGGCAGTGGTGAAATGGTTGCGATGGGAGCATGGGCCTGTTTCTACTACTGTATGTTTCCTGAAAACACTGGAGTAAAGTGCTGCACCAAAACTGATGTTATAAAGACTGTAAAGAGACTTCAGGGCAAAGCACAAGTGGTGTGCGAGAGGCATTTTAGTATGCCTCATGCCCTTGCACATTTATTTAAAGACAATTTAATTCAAAATGAGAAAAAAGTATTCGTTATTTGGTGAAACTGTCCTTCCTTTGTTTACATTCTGTTGTTTGTTTTCTCTATTTTGCTTTAGGGAAAATTGATGCCTTATGTTGAAATCCTGAATTCAGAACATTTGCCAACTAAATTCTTGTTTTCTTGCAGAGAATGGCACTGCTATATTCACTCTAAATCCCTATAGTTTCAAAACAAGAACCAAATGTATATAATGTTTATATAGCGCACAGTTCTATAAAGACCAGCATGTGTAATAATAATAATAAACACGATCGACTGTGCAAATCAAAATCTTGTGTTTTGTCGTTCCTTCATTATGTTTAAGCTCCTGTTACCAACTGTTTACACCCGATGCATTATACTTAGCATCACAAGCATTAATCTGCCTATTTACAGTAATACCTGTCACTTTCATCTTGTTTCAATTTTAAACCACTTTCCTGATTTGTTTTTAAGAGAATGTAAAGGCTTTTTCTGATCTTTTGATCTAAGATTATGACATACAAATGTAGTAGAAAAAAACAATATGAGAGCAGCAGCTTTCATTTCTGCTCCGATAACTGCCAACCTACTTTGTGTTAATCTATTACATTGACATGTCTTATGACTTCAGATGTTAATCCTTCAAGATGACTTGTAGCAGTTTTTTTTAATTACATTGGAGCAAAAAAAAATCCAATCAAATGTATTCAATAGTGCACAAGCTCAAAATATTTCATATTTACACTTGTATACAGAGTCGTTCACTTACAATCGGATTGACAAAAGATGCATCTTAATACTTGGGGTAAACAGGCCCTAACAGAAGTGTGAAGTTCAGCAAATGGTTAATGTTAAACCGAAGCTCTGCGCTTTGCATTTCTTCAAATGTTAATGTAACGGCATTCAGGATGCTAATTTAAGATGTCCATTGTTTCCGAGGTGTCGAGGAAGCACTTTAAACAAAGACTTGAGTTTGCAGACATTTTACAGTTGTCAGTAAATTGTCAGGCCGTTGATGAGAACAGTGGTCTGACCTTCTCCCATCAAGTTCACAGTCATGCAGTCTCGTAATGGTCAGTGTAAATAACAGGCTGCTGTGACTGAAGATCGTGCTCTGCTTGAGCTCAGTGTGAATGGACCCCCGGCTGTTTATATCCCACCGCTCCTGACAGAAGTGGCTTTGATTTGGCACCTTTGTGATAGTGAATGCTCTAAAGCCTCTCCCCCATCTGTGTGTGTAAATGAAACCTTTGCTGCTCAAGAATGCCCACAATGTGACTTTAAACAGAGACAAATTAACCAGATGTCTGCATGGGTTAATCTAGATTGCCTGGCAGATCACAGAAAGCTCACGGATCTGGAAGCTTTTATTTTGTTTGACATCAGTGTGGTTCTGTTAACTTTTACACATTTTTCCCTTATAGTTTTGTACAAAATAAGACAAATATCTAGACCAAGTTAAAGCGATAGTTCACTCATAAATGAACATTTACCTTCTATTTACTCACCCTCACGTGGTTCCAAACCTTTATTAGTTTGTTAAACACTAAAGGTATTTTGTAGAAATCTGCAGGCTTTATAGTAGGAAAAACAAGTACTAAAAGTGGTTACAGGTTTCCAATATTTTTCAAAATATCTTCTTTTGTGGTTAACAGAAAAAAAGAAACTCTAAAGCGTGAGAAAATGATGACATGAGTTTCATTTTCTTTAATAACTGCGATAGTTCATATTTATCCAGATAAACAAAAATTGCTCAAGTGATTTAGATTAATCATGAGCGTTTAGATCACACTCAAAAATATTTTAGCTGCTTGTTCTAACTACTAGTTTATAATGAGCTGAGTCAAAACAATTTAACGTTTTTTGGGGGATAACTTGTTTTATGTTCAATCAACTTTTGTTCAATCCAAACAATTGAGATAACTTTATCTACTTTAACCCAACGATTTTTGTTGGAACAACATGAAGGAATTGTGTAAAACCTTGCATTTTTTACAGTGCAACTTTGTCTTTGGCTTTTATTAAACTCCACCCAAACCTTAATACAGAAGACTGGAGATATTGTCACAATAACAGAAAGGTTTTAAGTCCAAAATCCCAAAACAAATGTTTTTCTATAGCTGTGGTTATGCTAGTTTAGACTAAAAGAGTACATATACATACATACATACATACATACATACATACATACATACATACATACATACATACATACATACATATATATATATATATATATATATATATATATATGTGTGTGTGTGTGTGTGTGTGTGTATATTTATTTATTTTTTTCTCATGCACTCTTGAGACAAATTAAAAAAATATATATAAATATACAAATGCCTACTGATTTAATTTTTTTTTTTAAATAGTGGTCATCTTTTTTTACAAATAAATATTTAGGTTTCATAAATCTGTACAGCATGAGCAATTAGGGTTTGTGACCCTGGACCTTAGGTTACCTTAAGGGTATCTTTCTGGCAATTGTACAAAATTACAAAATTTTCTTTTATGCAAAGAATCATTATAATTTTACTGAAAGAATATGTTATATGCGGATATTTAATTTACATATGAGGAGATTTAATGTCCATTTTATACTGTAAGAATATCAAAACTGAATTTATTTATAAAACCTAAGCATTTCTTTTCCAGTACAGGGTAGCAGTTGGAAGGGAATCTGCTGTGTAAAACATATGCTGGATAAGTTGACGGTTCATTTCGCTGTGGCGACCCCTGATTAATAAATGGACTAAGCTGAAAATGAATGAATAAATAAGCATTTCTAAAAACTTAGTTTAGACAGCTTTCTAAGTATTCAGATTTTTTTAAACCCTCAGATTCCAGAATTTCACAAAGTCATATTTCAGCCAAATAATGTACTTATAAACCGTACATCACTGCAAAGCTTAATTATGCAGCATTCAGAGAAATAAATACCAATTTCACAAAAAAATGTATATGATTTGTTTTGTGGTCCAGTGTTATATCTAAAAATTCAATGTAACTGAAATCATTTCCTAGACTATATATGCTGGCAGCGAGGTGGCTCAGTGGTTAACACTGTCACCGCACAGCAAGAAGGTTGCTGGTTCAAGCCTTTAGCTGGGTTAGTTGGCATTTCTTTAAAGAGTCTCCCTGTGTTCGAGTGGGTTTCCTCTGGGTGCTCCGGTTTCATCCACAGTCCAAATACATGCGCTATAGGTGAATTGAATAAGCTTGGCTGTAGTGTGTGTGAATGCGAGAGTGTGTGGCTGTTTTCCAGTACTGGGTTGCAGCTGTAAGGGCATCCAATGCATAAAAAATATGCTGGATAAGTTGGCGGTTCATACCGCTGTTGTGATCCCTGATAAATAAAGGGACTAAGCTGAAGGAAAATGAATGAATGATTATAAATGCTTATAAATTTGATTTATTTCTTGTCGCCTTAGTACCTTTATTAATCTGGGGTCACCACAGCGGAATGAACCACCAACTTATCCAGCACAGCAGCGGATGCCCTTTCAGCCGCTACCCATCTCCTTGAAACATTCACACACACACACTCATACAATACGAACAATTTGGCCTACCCAATTCACCTGTACCGCATGTCTTTGGACTGTGGGGGAAACCGGAGCATCCGGAGGAAACCCATGCGAACACAGGGAGAACATACAAACTCCACACAGAAATGACAACTGACCCAGCCAAGGCTCGAACCTGCAACCCAGCAAAACTACCTACTGCGCCACTGCATCGCCCCTAAATTTGATTTATAGAAATAAAATTTCTAATCATTAATGGAAAAAAAAAATGATTTCTTTCTATCAGTTTTCTTCATGTGTTTTATATTTTAAATTTTTTTTTATTGTTAAAAAAAGGAGCAAATGCAGTAAAACCATGGTAAAGCTTTTTTTTCCAGATTCCCTCTATAATACACTGCTTATCAAATACAGTCTGTTTTTAGTTGCAAAATCTTAGGTCAAGACTGTTTTATAAAACAATCATTTGATTCAGATTCTAAATATGTTAAAAGGGTTAAGTGTTTCCGCTAACCCCAGTCTCCTTTATATCAGCACATCCTCGATGACATCACACAGTCAAAACAGTAGTACAGTTGTGTGTTCCAAAACACCCTTGTGTTCCAAAAGGAACCATTTTAATTTGATATAATACAATGATAGTTTTGTCACATAGACATATAGATCATTTCCAACTCTTTCTCGACATCACTTCCTTTCATCATTTAGGGGTGTTCTTCAAAATTGCATGCAACAATGTAAGATTCAAACCCACGTTTGTGGAAAGGCAGTACAGGAAAGCTTCAGTCTATACAGGGCTAATGTCAAATTATTGGATTTCTGCTGATTTCAGTATTACGTCAAGGCAAGAGAAGGTTGTTACAATCATTTTAAGGATATTTATGCAAATGCATATGAAACATGCCGACAGTAAAGCGTATGCGCTTTGGTGCAGAGATTTTCATTTGTAGTTTTAAACCGATCTGAATCTGATTGTTGTGTGTACAGCGCTACAGTCCTCTGGCACCCTCTATTGGAAACAATGTGCAATGAGCTGAATGGAGTGAAAGTGCTTTTTGATCATGCTTTAACATCGAATACCAAACACATACCATCCCTTCTTTGGTGAGGCGTCAATTTGCGACAAACTGTATGTTTCAGACTCAATGAACAATGCCGGTCTTGTTTTTAACTAACGATTTGGTTCATCATAAACAAATATTCACTTTAAAAAGAACAATAAAGCAACAAAAAACACAATATCCAATAAATTTGGTTTAAACAAATGGTAAAAAGAGAGAACATTTTTTAAATGATCTATAAGTGAAATGAATTACATTTAGGTTTAATGCTGACATATTTACTGTAAATGGTACTGGCACCTGCTTTTGGCACATAATAATATATCATTTTACCTTTGGCCTTCAATAAGTTATATAATAATAACAACAAAATATTAATAATAAAAGGGTTAGTTTGCCATAAAAAAATTGGTCATCATTTCTTCAGTTCCACCCCCATAAGAAATTTGTTAATCTGAAACATTTTTAATTAAGTTTGAGAGATTTCTGCCACTCTTCTGATAGTTTGTATGCCTCAAAAAAAGTTCATTCAAAATTTACATTAATTAGGTTTAATTCAAGTTTTCTGAACAGATATGCTTACTTTGTTCTCTATTTGGCCTTTAATTCACATATAAGAGAGCAAATTCGGTTACAGAAACTAAAGTGTGCTTGCTTGACGTGTGAGAACCTATGAGATTCAATCTTGACTGTCACATGGCACATTGAAGTTAATACATGTATGTCACAGAACACATCTGAGCTTCTACAAAAACCAATCAGGTATGTTCTTGAAGAATGTCACTAATGCAACGCAATCTAACAACAATTTGTAACTTTTTGATTAAGTGGCTAATTCATATGAATTTGTACAATCTAATTCTTACAATTTAGTACGATTTGCTCATCCCATTGACAGTTGGGGTTAGGGGTGGGGTTATGTGCCACGCCTTCTTTTAAAAATCAGACATTTTCGTACAACTGAACTCATATGAATTAGCCACTAAACTGACAAAACATAAAATACTTACATTTCCTTGTGAGATCAGGCTGACTGATCAGTGTTTATATGTGAAAAAAGATCATTCTATAAAGTGATCTTGTCTCTTCAGAATGCTTGAAAAAACCTCATTTTGAAGCATTTTGGGTAAACAGACTATTTGATGGAAGAACAGAAATCTTTCTGATTTTATAAAAACAAATTGGTTTACTTTAGTTTAAGTACCAATTCCCACTATTGTTGTAGTTGGGATTAGGTATTGGACAGGATTAGGGATATAGAATAAGATCATACTTATAAGCACCAATTCCCACCATTAGATACACTGTAAAAAAAACTACACATATATGCTAAAAACTCAACAAATCAAATGTTTTAATGCTACTTCAACAAATTTTTATTTTGTTTTAGTTATATAAAGTTAAAGTTTATATAATTTGGTCAGTTTGACTAATGTTGAGTTGAAATGGCCAGAAAAGCTCACGTGATTCAAATGAAGCATTTTAGGCAGCAAGATTTTTTTTAAACAATGTACTGGTTTAGATATTCTCTGTTAAATAATACCTTAAACGTATCCCTAATGCCAAGTTTAGACTGCGCGATTTTCAAAGTAGCCATGTCACGGATGTTTTCACACTGTTTGACTATCTGGGTAAGCGTTCTGTCGGTGCTGTGTTAACACTGTAGGATGGATCGGTGACAGAAGATTTCACACTGCATGACTTTAAAATAGGAAAAATCGCCGACAACAACTTTGTCCAAACTACGTCTCACAACCAAACACATGTGAGAAGTGACATGGAAACAACACGAGGTCATGTAATATATCTTCTGTAATTAGCTACATAATGGAAAAAGAAGGCTTTAGCTTTAGAAAATGTACTTGTGTTGCTCACCTGGTTTTTGAAGAGAATTGGCAATTTAACTTCTCCCCGCTGGCCTGCAGGTACTAGTGAGTGCTGCTCTCTCATTGGCTTTCAATCAGAACACACATTTCACGTGACATGATTTGCGTCGCCGACAGCTCCAGATATTTAGCATGCCAAACATCTCACGGGAGGCTGCAACTCATTGACGATTCTCTCATATCGCACCCTTGATAGTTCATACGGTGTAACTGTTAATTGCGTGAACAAGCACTGATTTACCTGTGATTTCAGGCAATTATCAAAACCTGTCGGTGAGTAAAAAATCAGGGCTAAAATCACGCAGTATGAGTCGACACCCGTGAGGTATTTGCCATGCTAATTATCTGGACAACATCGGGATGTTGGGATTTTCAGTTTATTTGGACCCAAGAAATTGAGGAAAAACTACAGAAAATTTGGCAAGAGCATCCATGTCTGTTTGATGCCGCGCGTCATCTGAACAATACCACAACCAAAAAAGAAGAAAAGTTGAAGAGAAATTGCTACTTTCCTTCAAACTAAGGTGTGGAAAATAAGTACATTTTCTACCCGACTAAAGTCTTCTTTCTCACAATAACAAAAGATTTATTACAAGACCTTGTGTTGTTTCCATGTCAGTCTCGCATGTGTTTGGTTGTGAGACGTAGCCCAGTTTGGTCAAGGTTTTCGGCGATTCTTCCTATTTTTAAGTCATGCATTGTGAAACCCCCTGTCGCCGATGAAACGCTAGCCCAGATAGTCATGCAGTGTGAAAACATCCATAACACGACTACTTTGAAAATCATTCAGTCTGAACTCAGCATTATCCTGTACCCAAAACCCAATTCTAACTACTACCTTACAATACAACCAGCAAATTAATACTTTATTTATCTAAAAGTCTTAGTTAAAGGTTTGTTAATAGCAAGAACCTTTTAAAATAAAATCTGACCAAAAACTTGCATTCTGAAGCAAAAAACACATTTCTTAATGTTTAGCAGATGATGACAGAATTCCTTCAGGAACAAACTAACCCTTCAATTACTAATAAACGACTATCATCTAACAATTTAGAAACCTCATTTCATATGCCTCGACCTGCAGAGTAACTGTAATTGCATTGCACAAGGAAGGGACGGCAGAAGCTAAAAAGGGTCATTAAACCACAGATAAACTACTTTTATCTACTGTCCATCTTTCAGTCCTTCCCTTGATGGAGCCGATGCTCGTTGTGTGCGATCTCTCATGTTCACATGTGTTTGTGAAGTGTGAACAAGAAGCTCCGTCATTTAAAGTCCAATAAATCAGAATTAATCAACCGTAGACAATCCGAACACCCAAACAGCGAAGAGAAAGTCAAGTATCCATGTCTCCATGCGCAGATGGTTCCTCTACATAGGGTATATACAAATTATCTGCATTTACAGTCAGTTTCCCCTTAGCTCCTTCATAAGAGTGACTTCACGCAAGAGCATTCAATATAGACGGGAGATAGAAAGACAGCATCTGTAAAGAGGCACCAATAGTGCGAAACCTTTAAAATCCAGCGTGGGCCCCCAAAAGACCCTCTTATATTTAAAATAATACAGTATGTTCTCAGCAAAACACATCTGATGGATATTGTTCAGCATGTTTGCAAGGATGAAGCGCACACAAACACACACACACTCAAACACACATACATACATACATACATGCACGCTTGTTCAAACACATCCTCGCACCCTCACATAAAGGTTTACTCTGGTTCCTGCTCCAGTGACCTCCCAATATAGGAATGGTTGATTCTCCTTTGAACGAAACACAACTTAATAATAATAAAAAAAAAAGAAATTATGTAAAACAATTTAAAAAGTCACTAGGTAATTTGCGTCACAGGTTTAGGAAGAATACCACAAGATAACAGACGTGAGTAAAGTTCAGACTGTGGCATGCTGTGGTGCAAACATCAGACTCTGGGTGATCTCTGTTCACAGGTCGTCCTCGTCGAGCTGGGCCAAATTACTGGAGCGCTGGAGAGTGGAGGAGGGACTGGGAACAGACATGCGGCACTCTCTCTGGGAAACTCTGCGTCCACCCTCGCCTGAGATCTGAGACAAAATAAAGGCACGAACAGGTGGAGGTTTAATTCAATGACAGTGCTTTATTGACATCATGATGCTATGAAGGTCTGTTTCAGCCTATTGTGAAGAGTAAGATATAAAATCATCATCATAATATATAAAACACATTTATGAGGGCAGCACGGTGGCTCAGTGAGTAGCATGATCGCCTCACAGCAAGAAGGTCGCTGGTACAAACCACGGCTGGGTCAGTTGGCATTACCGTGTGGAGTTTGCATGTTCTCTCCGTGTTCGCATGGGTTTTCTCAGGGTGCTCTGGTTTCCCCCCACAGTCCAAAGACATGTGCACAGGTGAATTGAACAAACTATATTGGCTGTAGTGTATGTGTGGGTGTTTGAGTGTATGAGTGTTTTCCAGTGTTGGGTTACAGCTGGAAGGGCATGCGCTGCATAAAACATATGCTGGATAATTTGTCGGTTCGTTTTGTAGTGGCGACCCCCGATTAATAAAGGGACTAAGCTGAAAAGAAAATGAATGGATGAATGAGAAACTACTATTTTTATAAAAGTTACTATAGAGTGTTTTCATTCTGTCATGTTTGGATAGCAGAATAATACTGAATATGTTTGTATATTTGTTTGTGTGGTATTAAATAAGATATTATTTCACCTACTTGACATGAAAATGACAAGAACAAACATAAATGTTGTCAAGATTAGCCCCTAGTTTTTTCCCTCTCTCTCCTGCTTGATTTGTTATGTTTGTTTATCAGTTTATAGTGCTGTTTTTTCTCAACCACGTTCCTGGAGGACTACTAGCTCTGCACATTTTTCATGTCTCCTTGACCAAACACACCTGATTCAGATCATCGGCTCATTTGTAGAGACTGAAAAACCTGTAATGGGTGTGACAGACAAAGGAAACATCTAAAACATGCAGTGTTGGTGGGCCTCCAGGAACGTGGTTGAGAAACACTGCTCTAAAAGTTTTTTTTTTTGGTCTGACTGATTATTCATTCATTCATTTACATAAGCTTTTTCAGGCCCAGGTCGCCAGATTATAAAGTACAATTTCCCCCGAGGCCTCCTCTAAGTGGAACATGCATAGAACGCCTCTCTGGAGGCATCAGAAACAGATGACTGAGCCACCTCAGCTGACTTCTCGCGATGTGGAGGAGCTGCGGTTCTACTCCAAGCTCCTTACCCTATCTATAATAGGGTGAGGATATATATATAAATGCACCCTGCCCCCCTGTGAAGGAAACTCAATTCGGCCACTTGTATGTGATGTCTTGTCCTTTCTTTAGGTGTCATTAGGTGAGAGTTGGAATGTAGATTGACCGGTAAATCGAAAGCTTTGCCTTTCGGCTCAGCTCCTTCTTTACCACAACGGACCGGTACACTGACATGCTGTCGCTGCACCAATCCGCCTGTCAATCTCACGTTCCATCCTTCCCTCACTCGTGAACAAAACTCCAAGATACTTGAACTCCTCCACCTGGGGTAAGGACTTTCCTCCAACCTGGAGATGGCAAACTATCTTTTTCCGGTGGAGCACCAAGGCCTCAGACTTGGGGGTGCTGATTCTCATCCCAGCCGGTCTGACTGATTAGTATAGCCAAAACATGACAATACCTGATCACTTTAAGCAGCAATAAACCCCATAATGTGTGAGTTTTCAGTCATTTTAGCTGCATTGTTTACATTCTGCTATCTAATATGAAAACACTCAATCTACCTAAATACAGTCACACTGTGAGATAAAAAGTCATCCAGTGAGATTCATAAGATTCATATTTAAAGTCAAAGAGATATAAAGTTATATAAAGAGATATAAATTATTAGAAACATACTATTCTGACACATATCATCCCATAATAAGATATGGTGCTCGTGGTCTAAAGCGCACGGCACAGGATGTGTCCGAATCCACTTTTGCTATTTTAAGGACAGGAAAAATGGTTGGTGGTCCAAAATGGTTGTCCTTATTTTCTTAACGAGTTACAGGTGTGTTTTGGGCGTAATGTGCAATAAACCACGGTCTCATGAAAATGATACCTGTGCCGGGCTGAAACTAGCAAGAAAAACAAAAACAAAACACTTGCATCATGCATAGCAACACATTGCGCCATGTATATGACAGGGCCTATAATGTCACAATTTTGAGATATTAACTCACAATTAAGTGAAAATAAAATCGCATTTGAAAGAAAGCCAAATTGCAAAATCAAGTCACAATTATTATAAATAATATAAATAATATTGCAATTGAGAGATATAAAGTTCCAAATGTAGGTGATAAAGTCACATAATGAGACATAAAACCAACTGGAAGACATCAAGTAATTCCCCCAAAAATTAAGTTGCAGCAGTGATGTATCAATTTTTCAATAACAGGCTTCCACAGGCTTCAACATTTCTCAGACAGTTCTATTGAAATCTGCATTCCTGAATGCGCAAAGGTTTGTGATGCGTGACGGAAATTCTGAGCTATTCCCCAAGCAGAGAATAATGAGCTGTCATGAGTCAAGCTTAAGTCTAAAAATGGCTAAAGAGTCTTAATTACCCCGAGCAGGACAGTATATTAAGAGTAATATGTTTGTTACATGACTAAAATAGACGTGACTGGATTTCGCCACAAGGGACCTTCAGAAATTACATACTGTTCAGCACTCCTGTCAAATCAGGAATGTTTTAGTTACATGTAAGAGAAACAGATGTGTTTTTTTGTCATATCCCTCGCCATTTCGTTCTGTGGAGAAAATCTGAAAGCTTTTCGCACTTATTATAAACCTCAAGAATTTAATCATGTTTGATGTCCCATGGAAATTGTCTGGCCTTGATTCATTTTTCACCTTTGATTTCAGAATTGTAAGACCTATAATAAGCACATCAAGGTAAGAACATAAATAGTTTGAAGAAAGGAAGTTATGACAGTGGTTCCTTTACACTCACTGGTCACTTTATTAGGTACACCTTACTAGTAGTACTAGATTGGACCCCCTTTTGCTTTCAGAACTGCCTTAATTCTTCATGGCATAGTTTCAACAAGGTACTGGAAATATTCCTCAGAGATTTTGGTCCATGTTGACATGATAGCATCACACAGTTGCTACAGATTTGTCAGCTGCATACATGATGCGAATCTTCCTTTTCATCACATCCCAAAGGTGCTCTATTGCATTGAGCTCTGGTGACTGATGAGGCCATTTGAGTACATTGAACTCATTGTCATGTTCAAGAAACCAGAGATGATTCACGCTAATGATCCATCCCTTTATGACCACAGTGTACCCATCTCCTGCTGGGAGTAGCCATCAGAAGATGGGTACAATGTGGTCATAAAGGGATGGACACGGTCAGCAACAATACTCAGGTAGGCTGTGGCGGAAACACAATTCTCAATTGGTACTAATGAGCCCAAAGTGTGTCAAGAAAATATTCCCCACAACATTACACCTCCACCACCACCAGTCTAAACCGTTGATCCAAGGCAGGATGGATCCATGCTTTCATGTTATTGATGCCTAATTTTGACCCTACCATCCGAATGTTGCAGCAGAAATCGAGACTCATCAGACCAGGCAACGTTTTTCTAATCTTCTGTTGTCTAGTTTTGGTGAGCCTGTGCGAATTGTAGCCTCAGTTTCCTGTTCTTAGCTGACAGGAGTGGCACCCGGTGTGGTCTTTTGCTGTTGTAGCCCATCCGCTTCATGGTTCGACGTGTTGTTCTTTCAGAGATGCTCTTCTGCATATCAGGGTTGTAACGAGTGGTTATTTGAGTTATTGTTGATTTTCTATTAGCCATTCTCCTTTGACCTCTGGCATCAACAAGGCATTTGCGCCCACAGATCTGCCGCTTACTAGGATATTATTTCTTTTTCAAACCATCCTCTGTAAACCCGAGAGATGGTTGTGCGTGTAAATCCCAGTAGATCAGCAGTTTCTGAAATCCTCAGACCAGCCCATCTGGCACCAACAACCATGCCATGTTTAAAGTCACTTAAATCACCTTTCTTCCTCATTCTGATGCTCGGTTTGAACTGCAGCAGATCGTCTTGACCATGTCTACATGCCTAAATGCATTGAAATGCAAATCACATGCTGCAATGTGATTGGATGATTAGAAATTTGCATTAACAAGCAGTTGAACAGGTGTACCTACTAAAGTGGCTGGTGAGTGAATATGATATAAAGGCTAATCTAAAATCAGCCTAGCATGACAAGCTGCTAGTTTTAAACATATAAACACATGAAAAGTGAAGTCAAAACAGAGCTGAGATCTAGCAGCAGTCTGATTCAACCGCCTGCAAGAACAATCAGCTGTTTGATAGGGATCTGTTACTTCCTCTTGTCAACCTGTCTCCTTCCTGTTTGTGAAGTGCGGTTGCTCACACAGGCCTGAGTGAAGCAGATAAACAGCTTTTTCACACAAGGCCATTGTTGAGCTGTCATCAAAGCTCATTCAGGACTAGACGCCGCTGTAAATGGAGAAACTGTTTTTTAAAGGGCTGCTGTGTTAGAACAGGGAAAACCGATGTTAAGTATTTGTGTAGTTATTGTATGATGTTAATGAAATGAATAAGTAAGAAATATGGCTATGGAAAAATTAAGAGACCACTTGACAATTGTCCATTTCTCTGTATTTACTGGTGTTAATATTTAAAAAGGTTACATTTAAAATTAAAAGGTTAATATTTGTTGTATTTTTTTAAAAGTCTGATAATATTACAAATTTAAAAGAAAAATACTGTAATTTAGAGTTTTTTAATGAGAAAATAACGAGTGCTCAGTCTAACAAATGTTTTCAAGTGGTCTTTTATTTTTGTATTTCCGCAGCTATATTTGTGATTCTGCACTATTTCTAGGTCAATGATGACATTTTCCTACTTAAACTGTTTTGTGATAATATAACCAAACAGTTTGAGATATTACTTTTTACAGATCTTACTATATTTTCTAGAAATTAAGTTTCCAGACCAAAATTACTGCAGATAAACAAATGTAAACACAAACAAGTTGAATTGGTCCCTTTATTAATCTGGGAATTCCACAGTGCCACAGTGGAATGAACTGCCAACTTATCCAGCAAGTTTTTACGCAGCAGATGCCCATCTAGCCGCAACCCATCTCTGGGAAACATCCACACACACACACTCATACACTACAGACAATTTAGCTTATCCAATTCACCTGTACCGCATGTCTTTGGACTGTGGGGGAAATCGGAGCACCCAAAGGAAACCCACGCTAAAGCAGGGAGAACATGCAAACTCCACACAGAAATGCCAACTGAGCCGAAGCTCGAACCAGCAACCCAGCGACCTTCTTGCTGTGAGGCGACAGCACTACCTACTGCGCTACTGCACTAAGTTATTTATTTTTTTAAAATATGTGGTTATTGTAGTTTACCAGTAACCCTAAATAAATCAAAACTTTTATAAACATTACAACAAACGTTATAAACATGTGTTTTAATTCCCCACGACAAATCCTCCAGTACTATTCAGAACAGAAACAGAAATATATTAAATGTTTAAAGCATAAAACAAACAGAAATTATACTGGCATAAGCTCTAGCAACAGTTAATATAAGCATCATTCATTCATTCATTCATTCACTCATTCATTCATTCATTCATTCATTCATTCATTCATTCATTCATTCATTCATTTTCTTTTCTGCTTAGTCCATTTATTAATGAGGGGTCATCTACAGCAGAATGAACCACCTACTTATGGAGCACCCGGTTAACACTGTTAATCGGAGCACCCGGAGAAAATCCATGCAAACATGGGGAGAACATTCAAACTCCACACAGAAATGCCAACTGACCCAGCTGAGGCTCGAACCAGTGACTTTCTTGCTGTGATGCGACAGCGTTACCCATTGTGCCACTGCGCCACCCTAATATAAGCGTCAACCCAAACTTATTCAAAGCGAAACTGTACTGTTTTTATAGTATGGATGTGATCTGAATGCACAACATTAAAGCGGGCATCGCGGTACTTTCTTCTTGAATTCACACTTCTTTTGTCACATACTGTGATTTAACTACTATATTGAAGGGAAAAGTAACTGCTGCAAATAACCCCATGCAAATTTTGGAAAGAAATAATAATTAGGTTGGGGAGAAAGAAGACGGAAGTAACGTGGATCGAATGTAACAAAGCAATTTTCTGGAAGCCCCAACAACATTTGATTTCCAGGCTATAACAGTACATTCAGCATGCAACCCTTGATGGAGTTAGTATCTTGTGATTTCAGGACTTTGTCCTGCAGTTAGCTCCAAATGTCTGTTTTTAAGTGCAAAAAGTTAATTATTGTAAGGGTTTTTTTTTTTTTTACAAGCTGTGTTTCTCTTTTCATGCGTCACACTAATGATCAATCTACAGGTTATTTAGTGCAATAACACATCCTTGTGTTTTTCAGTTTAAAAGTAAATCAGGTTTAAATGGCAAAGGTTTCGGTGGGAACAAACATGTCCCACTGCTAATAGCCATGCTTATTTTTCACTTCCACATTAGATTTTAGTGTTTTGATGTTTTATAAGATTAATGCATATTGTCAATAACAATAAAAAGATTAACATTTAATTCAATTAAAATTTTGCATTGTTGGGTTGCTTTTGAAACATTTGATGAAAGTGAAATTTAAATAAAAAAATGCTGTTTAATATTTTTTTGCAGAAAGTAAAGGACAACATCTGTTTGACAACATCTGTTTGCAATGAACATTAACAAGGTCATAATCAGATATATTTCAAATAAACAAGATAAGTAAATAGCAAATATTGTTGTGTTACTTTTGACCCACTCATGTGTTACTTTCGTCCCTGCTGATAGGGTCAAAAGTAAAAATGTGCAACATTTGGTTAAAGTGAAGTTATACTGGAGTCGTTCTACATTGATACAAAATAACAGCTGGTTTTGATAGAAAATATAAAAATATACAAAAATATATCTCTGCTAAAAACATTGTCTAAAATGAGATTTTTATGAAAAATGTTACTTTTGTCCCCGCTCTCCCCTACTGAAAAGTCCTTCAACCCTGAAACTAACTTTAAGCTTAATGTAGGTCACCTAGTATCTCTTAATGTAAGTTCACTATACAAACTTACACTGCAAATATAGTGAAGTCTTAATATTTGTGACCCTGGATTACAAAACCAGACTTCTGCAGCATAAGTATATTTTTGCCAGTAGCCAAAACTACATTGCATGGGTCAAAATGATAGATTTTTTAATTCCAAAAGTTATTAAGGTATTAAGAAAAGATCATGTTCCAAGGTGATATTTTGTAAATTTCCTACTATAAATATATAAAAACTTGATATTTTAGAGGCAATTTTCTCAATATTATTATTGAACCATCAAATGCCAGATTATCAAATAGTTCTCAGCCAATTATTGTCCTATATTAACTAACCAAACACAATTAAAAAGCTTATATATTAAGCTTTCAGATGTGTATTCATTTAAAAATGACACTTTCAACTGGTTTTGGGGTCGACACATTTGTTATTGCATGTCCACAATACACCAGCAGAGGGAGCAGCGTGGCTTCTTTTTCAAAACTCTGGTTTCATTCTGAACATTTCATTTCTAAATGATGGTGTTAAAGAGGGTTTGATCAGTACCTGTGAGCCTTGTGTGCTGGAGGAATACAGCCCGTTGGAGACCGCTTGGCAGTTTAGTGGTGCCTGGGAGAAAGATGGCTCTTCAGAGAAGGCCAGCTGCACATGAGTTGGAGACACTGTCTGGGAATTCAGTCTGGAGTCTACTGGTGTTGACTGTAAACGTCAGATAGAAACAGTGGTTACAAAATCAACCAGGTCATTTATATGTATCAATTTATGACATAATTGTGAGTTATCAGACGATAAAATTGGGGTGAGAAAAGAAAAATGGTGAGGTAAAACGTAAGAAAAATGATCTTGGACAAAAACACATCATTTCTCACTTTATACTCATGTTTGGAGTTGAATATCTCTGTGCAAAGTTATTTTACTCTCCCTTTAATTCCATTTAATATTGTTGTAAGGAATATTTAAAGTGAGAACATCTTTTTTTTTTATACAGTTTTTCATAGTTTTTTTTTTTTTTTACATTTTTGTAGAATTTTTTTTACAGCTTAAGACGACATTTTAGATTAATGCTGTCATGTTGTCAGCAATTTCAAAACTGTCTCAGTATGCATCTGTGTATGTGCTCAATTTGTGTAAATCCCAATAAAAATGTTCTAGAAGTTAACACTGTACTTAGGATTCCAAGTTTTAGTATTCAAAAAGATAATAATAATAATAATAATAATGATGATGATGATGATAGTAATAATGATGATGATAAAGATAATAATAATTATAATAAAAATTAATAATAATAATAATAATAATAATGATGATGATGACAAAGACAATAATAATAATAGTAATAATGATAATAATAGTAATAATAAAAGTAATGATAATAATAACAACAACAACAACAACAACAATGTTAATAATAATAATAATAATAATAGTAGCAATAATAATAATAATAATAATAATAATAACAGTAATGATGATGATGATAATAATAATAATAATAATAGTAATATTATTATTATTTAAATAATAATAATAATAATAGTAGTAGTAGTAGTAGTAGTAGTAGTAAAACAACAACAGTTTAAATGCATATTAAACTACTAAAAATTGGGACACAATTCTAATGTTGTGTATTATTTAGATGCAACAACTTATGTTGATCCACTGAAAACTCCTTGACATCATAATCAAATCAACATAAGCTTTCAGGAAAGTGAACATTTACAAAATCTTTTGGGTCAGCGTGGAGTGTCCGACTCAAGAGCAAGACCCTAGTGCTTTTCAAATACGGACACAGCTTTATCCACCAACCACACCATTGATTTGTATAGTTTAGGATTCAAACTGGAATTCTGCCTAGACCTAACAGACCGTGGATGACCACACAAATAAGGGGTTTGTGAGGTTAAAGCAAACCTCAGACAACTGAAATGTCCCACCTCTGGCTGTGAGTGGTCGTCAGTGGGGACCTGGCTGGGCAGATATAGAGAGGGCAATGATGTGTTACAGGAGCGCAGACAGGGCAGTTTATGTCGGTCGATGGACGCTGAGGAGTGAGGCCTCAGACCAGCCACTGCTGACAGAGGAGGCTTTATGCTGCGGCCCAAACTGTTGCTCTTGCTCTCCCTTCTCTGGTACTCTATAGGCGACTGCAGGGCTGAAACACATAGATTAAAAATAAACGTATTAGCCATATTTCATGAACAGAAAGTTTAATAGACAGGTATCACAGTTGAAAAAGATTCTCAGTCTAAGTAAGCTAAAAATATACTTGTGTACAGTGACTAATTATATTTATTAAAATGCTTTACACTACTGACTGAGGGCAGAGATGAAATCAGCAGGCTGTTGGGTGTGGATGCAGACTAAATGAATGTCTCACCATTAAGGAAATTGCGTTGGGTCTCCAGTATTTGGCTCACGTCACTGACCCAAGCCATGCAGATATTCGGCGATGAGGAGTACAAAACATATCGCACTGTGCTACCATCGGCCCCCCGGGACGTCAGGGCAAAGCGATTTGGGTCACCATCTACACAAGCCTCCACACCCAAACAACTTATCTGAAGAAAACATGCAAACATACTGGGTCACATTGAAATCTTACTGTATATCCTAATGACTTTCTCTAAAGCGGTAACTCACCTTAATACTGTTCTTAAAAATGTAACCAGGTAGAGAAAATCCTTTCTTCCTGTCGATTGGCTCGCTAAAGATGACAAGTTGTTCAAACAGGAAGACCCGTCTCTCTTTAGCGCGGGACAGGATGCTGCTGTCCTGCTCGGTGATTGTGAATGTGTCTTGCTGGAGAAGTTTTCCTTGTGCCGTGATCTTCCCCTGATAAAGAGACAAAATTAGCAGGGGTTTTCAAAACCTTTGGGATATCTAAATACGATTCGCTTTCTAAAATCTAAACAGATTTGCATTTGTCTGTTTTGATTTGCCTCAGATAGCTGTATTTGTACATTATTAGTACACAAAGATCATATCATTGGTTTCAAAATGAATTTTTGGAGTTTAGTTTAGTAAACAAATGATTAAAGTATTATCTGGAAAATATTTATTCTAAATTAGTTAAATGCCCAGATGATATTAGCATATAGAATAAACATTTTCAAATGTTTGTTTTAATTATGATCACAAAGAAGCTTTGCAGAAACAGCTAGAAAAGTTAAGGATTTCCTAGAAAAATGCAACATACCAAACATGCATGAACAAAGCACTGCAATGGGGTATATGCACACAGACTTTTAATTTTCAGACAGCCAGCCCAACGGCTTCCTAAACTATCCATCTGATACAAAATTTGCCAAGTTTAAGTGATCTTCACTGCCCTGTAGATATACAATATAAAATGGGTCTCAGACCAAAAATGAAGCACTGCATTAAACTCCCTGCCATCTCTTTAAAATGAATTTTATCCCAGTGTTTTCAATGGAGTTTCTGAGCTAGCCTGCTGCCACTGACGGTGCTAGAGTTTACACGGTCAATCATCTCATTTTATGCCTGAACAACTAAATGAATGCTTAAGTTTATTTAACTGATTGCATTTAATTACATTACATGCTGTAAAAGGAATCTTAAAAGATGTAAATTAGTTACATAAACCTATGTTTATCACTAGCTGAAAAACACTAGCTGTGCCTATATCCCATTAGAAAAGATCTATAAATAAGTAAAAATAACATTAAACTCAATGCATATTTTATATAAGGAGTTGCAAGGTTGTTTTAATGTTTTTGAAAAAACAAACCTTATCTTATGCTCACCAAGACTGCATTAATTGGTAAGACTTTACTTTGATGGTCCCTATTGCATATTTTGTTGACTAAAATTTGCATTGCCACTACATGCCCATTACTTCTCATTTGAGGTTTGGTAGACTGTGTGCTTAATATCTGTTAATACTGCTCCTTCAAAAGACATTAAACTGACTATAAGAAACTTTGCAAGCACATGTCAACTTACACTAACCCCAACCCCAATCTAACAGACTACTTACACTATAATCTATTGAGACTTTGTTGACATGTACTGTAGATGCAATGTACTGAAATTCAACAAAATGTGTTAAAGGTGACCATTAAAATAAAGTGATACCTATTAATGTACTCAAAAATACAGCTTTTTCTTGCAAAAGCTGAATTTCAGCATTCAGTGTCACAAGATCCTTCAGTAATGATTCTAACATGCTTATTTGTGGCTCAAGAAACATAACTGTTAAAAACTTTTCCTGCTGCTTGATATTTTAATGGAAACTGTGACATTTCTGTCAGGATTTTTTGATGAACAGGGGTGCGTTTCCCAAACAACGATGTAACTCGCAGCTGAACTATCATAGTACGATGTATCATTTGGAAAAAGAACGATGTAGTGACGAGTGTGCCACAAAACCCATAGTTTTTCTGTCACAGATCCATCGTTTGAACCACGTTAGTTATAACGTAAAACACCCAAAATAATGCTCTAAATGGGGTAGAAACAACTACTTTAGATAAGAATCCCATTAATTCCTTTGTGCTAATTATATTGTTTTAAACGCACACGCATTAAAAAAAAATCCAATATTAGTTTTGGTAAAAACATGCACTCGCTTTCCATAATAATTTAAATAAATGCAAATGGCACATATAGGGCCAATGTTTCCTTTACAAATATTATTGAGAACATTACATATTCTATTCTAAAACATAAAATCACTTATAAAAGCTAACACATAATCTAATATCATATATAAATCAAATACATAAATAATACATTTTTTAAGAAATGAAATTCAATAACTATTATTTATTAGGAAATTGAAAACAAATCCCACTTTAACAATAATAATATTAATAATAATGATGATAATTATTATTATTATTATTATTATTATTATTATAAAGTAAGATATTGTTTATTTATTTATTTTTTGGCACATGCAAACCACTGCATAAATGTTCTAACCAAGAGGCCCATGTCATATACCGTACAGATACTGCATAACCTACTTATAACCTACGATAAATTAAAAGCATTTACATCTGCTATGTTTTTTGTTTTCACAAGTTTTGAAGACGTAACGTAAAATTCCACTTTTAAATAATAGTTCACCTATAGTAGGGGTTGCCAAACTTTTCAGCTTGCAACCCCCAAAATGAAATGCCAGTGACTCGCGACCCCCAATATCCTCTAAGGTGGTCAAAAATACAGAAACCTTGCATGCAATGGCGCACACACCTACAGACCCAAGATTTTTCTTCGTTTCATTTTTTTAATGCATGTCAGTGCTGTAAATGGGCCAGAAAGTTTAACCTGTTGTTATAAAATCAATCTGCTGCATCTGACACTATTGCTGCGCCTTTAATATAATGTAATTACCCCAGGGGTTGCAATCCAATAGAACTAGTAAGTACAAGCTACTATAGTAACTATATAGAATATAGTAACTATAAGCGACTATTTTTTCCTCTTCAGTAGGTAATGGATAAAATATGGTAATTCTTATGGTTTAATAAAAATAAATAGATTTTTGGAAATCACAAGGCGACCCTCCTTCATTGTCCCGTGACCCCTCGGGGGGGTCCAGACCCCCACTTTAAGAACCACTGTCATGAGCTTTTTTCATAAGCCACGGCTTTGTTCAAAATGACATCAATGTCTTCAAAGTGCACTGCGAAGCCAACACAACTGTCAATATGAAGATCGCTAAAACTAAACTGTAAAAACACTTTAAAAGCAAATTACAAGAGTGATGACTTTAATGTTTTTTTTTTTAATCATTTCAAGTGTAAATGTTAGAATGTTCTAAATGAATAGGGCATAGGGGGATAACTGGGAATAGAGCACAGCCAGGAACTATGCTTCTAACTACAGCTCTAGAGATGTAGTTGCAAGCTTACAATTTTGCGATGCAGTTTGTGAATATTAATTGAAACGATGGATTCGGAAAACACTGAATCAATGAATTATGTTTGTAATGACGGAAGTTGCGACCTTAGTTGGCTAACGATGGTTTTCGGAACGCACCCCAGATCGTTTTTCGTATCAATATAAAATATTCTTTTCTGTCACTTTTGATAAAGTCAATGCACACCCACTGAAAATAGTTGACCTTTTTCCACTTAATTTTATAACAATAATAATAATAATAATAATAATAATAATACATATTATTTGTGATGCACTTTTCTGAAACTCAAAGCGCTAATTGTGTATTTTTTTTTTTCAGACTCAAGTTTGAAACTCCTGCTTTAGAGGATCAGAGTCCCTAGCAGTATTTCCACAGGCGGACAGCTTTAAACCACAGCCTGAGTCTGGCGCCGTACCTCAAAGCCCTGCAGCCGACCCACGTTCATCATGTCATTGCAGCGCTTCGGAACAAAACACATCACCTCCACTGCTTTCTGTTCCAGCAAGAACGACAGACACAGAGAAAGATATAAGAGAGAGAGACATGTGTGGAAACTGACCTCGGCTTCATACTAAAGCCTATGAGCAAATACAGTTGTACTGATTTCACCAAAGGGGAAAAAACACATAGAGAAGAGATCACAAAATGTTCCTCTGTGGGATTATGTGTTTCTGGTCTTGAGAAATAAAAACTTGCATAATGATTAGTGTCTGCGTGACTCGTACCTCCAGCTCTTCAGTGTCCATCCCAGCCTTTGTGTAGTACTTGTGGAAGTCCTGTCGCGAGACACACAGCGTGAGATCTAGATGGTTCTATTTCTGTATCAGTGTCTGTACTAATCTAATGTCCAAAGGCAAAGTGCAGAAACTACAGGATTGGCCAAAACTGAGAGCTAGTTCACAAAATAAGTAGACTTGGAACAAGTGAAGGGGGAGTAAATGATAACAGAATTTTCAGTTTTGGGTAAACTATGCGTTTGATGACTAAAATGTCTTGTGATAAATAGTTTTGGTTAAAATTTCTTGCATTTTAGAGAAACAAAATCACTAATCTACCCACAACTACACTTTAATTTAATATATCATGATAATGAACATGCATAACATAGATATTTTGGAAACTTAAAAAATATGTGAACAATTATGTATTATTTAAACCTTTAAAGTGTTTTTTTTAAAGGATATTAAGAGTGAATTTGCAGTGGTTGTTTATCACATCAAACAATATTTTTACATGTCAATCAGCCTATTATATGATAAAATATTGTTGGAAAATTCTGTGAAAATGTATAAAGCTATTGTACATAAATACTGGGCAATAAGGCTCTGACAGGTAGCATTAGTTAATTTAACTAAATTTTCCATGAAAACACAAAGCTTTAATTAATCTTTGATGATGTTCATTTCTTAGTTAATGACGTGTTAAAATCAAAGTTGAATCTAACTACAAGTTGCATTTTTTAATTAAATGAAGTTAATAACTAATAAAATCCACTTTTAACTAATAAGATTAGATTAGATTCAATGTTATTGTCATTACACATGTACAAGTACAAGGAAACAAAATGTAGTTTAGGTCTAACAGGAGTGAAATAGCAGCAGTTGCAGGATATAGGTCAAGGTTATAATAGTTTTGGATTTTTCATTAGCTTTAGTGTTTATTTTGTCTTGACAAATAAATCAAAACGTAATAGTGCAGTGATTATAGGCAGAAACTAATATTAACATACTAACATATTTTTTTCATCACTGTTAATTTTAATTGACTAACATTTACTTTTTAAACTGTTTTGTAAAGTGTTGCCTATTGTACTTTAAAATCCTTTTGCATTTCAATTTGGTTAAAACATATATAAGGAGCAATGCAGATGAGAACATTTATTATTCCTTCACAAATTTTAATATCAAAGGCATCATCAAAGAAATTAGATAATATATTGTAAAATTTTAAAGAGACTGCCAATCAGGGCAGAATGTAATAACATATGCACGAATAATATACAGTTGAAGACAAAATTGTTAGCCCATTTAAATTCATTTCCAAATATATCCCGAGTGCTGTTTAAAAGAAGGTATTTTTCAACATATTTTTAAACAACAGTTTGAATAACTCATTTCTTTTGTCTTGTATATGATGACAGTACATCTTATTTTACTTGTTAAACTGTAAGATAATTGTATTGAGTTTAAAATGCAATTTAATGGTTTGACTAGGTTAATTAGGTTAACTAGGCAATTTAGATTAATTGGCCAGGCACTGGACTACAGTGGTTTGCTCTGTCAATGATAGGAAAAAAAATCTTAATTTTTATTTATTCATTTTATTTTATTCAGCTTAACCAAAAGAAATAAGATTTTTCCCCCACAAGAAACATATAAAAGAAAAACTCCCTGGCTTTGTTAAACATCCTTTGGGCAGCACTTGAAAAATAATAATAATGATATTTCACAGGAAGTCTGATTATTTTGTCTTTAACTCTATATACTGTCATTTTAAAGGTTTAAAAAATGTGTGATGACAAGCATGTTAATAATGTAGCAATATTATAATTTACGTTTAAAATATTAAGTGTTTCTTTAAACTTGTTACACAGAAGCTGAAGAAACTGCTCAAATGTTTTCAGCATTAATAAAAATTATTCAACATTAATTTAATATTAAAATAGCTTAAAATAATTTAGTTTGTTTAAAAAGCATATTAAAATGGTTTGGATGAAGTTACACTGAGAACTGGAGTAGTGGCAGCAAAAAATTCATGAATAAATTTTACAAAACCTCAAAACAGACAACCTTTATTTGAAAGTATAATAATATTTAACAGTATTTCTTTTGCTTTGATCAAACAAATGCATCATTGGTGCATATCTAAAACAGAAACTTGATGAAAGTAATGTTTTACTGTTTGATTAAATATTAAAAATAGAACAAGAGCTACAGAACCGTGTGTGCCATTTTTGTTGAATCTTTAAATCAAACAAAGTTCTATGAGTATTTTGATGATCACTTGATATTCTAGTTTTACTTATGAATGTGGAATTGATTAGACACACTCCACAGGTCTCCTGACAGAACAAGCGCTGAAGAATGTGCGTGTGTGTGTGTGTGTGTGTGTGTGTGTGTGTGTGTGTGTGTGTGTGTGTGTGTGTGTGTGTGTGTGTGTGTGTGCGTGTGAAGTGTGTTTGTGTTGGTCTGTGTTTTGCACTCTGGTTCACCTTCAGCAGCAGCTGGTACTTCATGATCCTCTGCACTGGTTTGATGAGCAGGTCATTGAGCTGCAGTCTGTGACCCAGCTGCTGTTTCAGCTCCTGCACACAAACACACACTAATGTGAGCCTGACTGACTGATTCTTTTATGCACAGAGAAAGTCTGAACCACGACTACAACACTACCCATGCTGACTGCCAAAATGTATGTTTAACTCATAAGCTTCAAATACATAAAAAAAAATAGCTTATTACTAGGCCCACCCGGAATCTGCGCACGGAGAATTCAGCAGATTTTCCACAGTTTTAGCCCATCATTAATTGTTTATTTACTTGAGTAAATGTGTGTAAATCCATATTTATCCAGTTTTTAAATTAATTACAGTAATATTATTGACTAATTTAAAAATGTTCATCTGATTTATGTACAATAAAGTTTGTACAGTATTACTTTCTGTCTTTTAATAGATATATTATATGAGAGACTCGCTTTACTTGCCAAATAAAAATAAATATATCCATCTAATTGGATATGCATTTTAAACATTAAATAAAAATTAAAAAGATATTAGTTTTTATTTCACATATTAAGGTCTTAGTTATGATATTCCCAAAATATTTTCGCAGAAATCTACATATTATTACCAAAATTCTCAGCAGAAATAGCAAAAACATTTGCAGATTCCATCTGGCCCGACTTATTACTTTACTTATAAATGTATAAAGAAATTAATTCACAGTATTAATAGGTTTCTTTACTATATTTATAATTAATACAACAAGAAACTATATGCAACTTCATTGTTTATGATGAGGTTTATATTTACGGGTACACCGAAAAAGCCTGGTTATAATGTACACCTTTATAAAGTACATTTGAAAATGCAGCACCTAATATCTTCCCGAGTTTGTAATGAGAATTGTTTAAGGAAACAAAGACAGATATTTTGTGTTAAAAATGTGATTTCCATGGATAATTCAACCCTAAATATTTTGTTATTTTAACACTAAATATAATTTTAAAAAACATTAATAATAATGATCCCTACTACTACTACTACTACTACTACTACTACTACTACTACTACTACTACTACTACTATTACTACTATGTAAATAAAAGTAATACAAATAAATACACTCTAAGTAGAAGTAGAAGAAGAAAAATAAAAAAGAAGAAGAAAAAGAAAAAATAAGAAAAAATAAATAAGAAAAAGAAAATAAAATAAAAAGGAAATGAAATGAAATGAAGAAGGACACAGAAGAAAATGAAAAAGAAAAAAGAAAAAGAAGAAAAAAGAAGAAAAAATAAAAGAAGAAAAAGAAGAAGAGATTTTACAAATACTTTATTACTATTATGCAATAACATATCAAACTACTTAAATCCATCAATAAGCCCATCCTAAAACAACACATTTTTGAAAATTAAATAATTCTTTTCAACAGAACAAAGCATATCTTTATAGCACCATATATTAGAACATTTCTCACGATCACTAACTTAACTGTAATGGTTATAATCTTTTTTAAATGAGCTTTCAACATTTTTATAAAAATACAAACAACATCAACATCTGAGGAACCTTCTATCTTGTTTTGCCTACTCATTTACAAAGCATCTTTTCATTCATTTATTCATTCATTCATTCATTTATTTATTCATTCATTCATTCATTTTCTTTTTGGCTTAGTTCCTTTAATAATCAGGGGTCTCAACAATGGAATGAACCGCCAACTTATCAAGCATATGTTTTACGCAGCGAATGCCCATCCAGCTGCAACCCCACACTTGGAAACATCCATACACTCTTGCATTCACACACATACACTATGGCCAATTTAGCTTATTCAATTCACCTATATAGCACATGTCTTTGGACTTAAAGGGAAACCGGAGCACCCAGAGGAAACCCACGCCAACATGGGGAGAACCAGCGATTGTGAAGCGACTGTGCTACCCACTGCACCACCATGACACCCTTGCTCTGACCAAAATAAAATTGAACAATTAATAATTGTTTTTTTGTGAATATCTATGCCCCAAAATGAACAAACTATACCAAATAAATAAAAAAAAACACTCTAACCATGAAAACAATGACAAAAGACAACAACAATCCACCAAACAATGAAAGACAAGAAGGCTACAAAAAGGACATTCATGACTAAAATCAGAGTTCAACACAGAAACAAAAGCATTGACAGCCACAGCTAAATGAAGAACCCTCCACAGGATCAGCAACTTTCTTCAGCAATGGAGGCAGGAAAAAAGAAGAACTGGCTTCATTGTCAGTAAGAAAATATGGACCTTTAATGTTAGTTTTAAACCCTGGACATGCACAAAAAACTAGGCAATATGCATTAATCTTTTGACCTTCTGGTTTTCCACTCCAAACATAGCTAAACACTCTCCTTGATCCATTACCCCATAGTACCCTGCAATCTCAGTCAATAAAACCTAAAGTAATGCCAGCTATCAAACCTTCAAATGTTTTGGTACAGCACTGAGAATCCATTAAGGTGTCAAACTTTTCGATCAAGCATCTCCCTGATTTATCTGTTCCAAGAATTGATAGGTCAGTCAGGGCCTTCATGTCCACTGAGTGATCATTACACACACACACACACACACACACACACACACACACGCACGCACACACACACACACACACACACACAAACGCACACAAACGCACATGCACACACACCGTGCAAACGGGAAGGGAGAGAGTCTGCCTTGAGATATTTACACAGATGGACCAAAACAGTCCCTCAGGCGTAACCTTTGGATCTTTGAGAACTCCAATAATCTTCTGCTTGCCCTTGACATGCACTTACCTCAAAGTAGGTCTCGATGTATTCTGACACGATGTGCTCAGATTTAGGTTTGTTCTGGCAATACACCACATACATGTGAAGCCGTCTTTCCTGCAGATTATGTAAACAGAGAAGAGTGAATTAGCCCAGTTTAGTAGACATATAGTTGAGCTACAAAAAATTCTCTTAACCCTACAACTTACCCACCAAGAAAAACGTTTTTGGATTGGATTTGTTTTGAGAATCAACCAATCAGAGTCTCATCTACCATTCCCTTTAACTGTACATTCACACCGAAAGTGGCGAGAGCGTCAAAGTAGCTGGAAGTCATTCATTTTCAATGGGAGCCGGCAGCCATAAGCGGCGAGGAGCAGCGTGGCTCGTCTTCGCTGGTGTGGGCGTCGAGGACAGTTGAAATTAAGTCAACTTTATGGTAATGAGCTATGACGCAGTATGGCGGCAAGCAATCAGAATGTAGAAGTCCAGACTGAGATTGCAGGAGTTCAGAGAACACAGTCGCTGTTAACTTGGGTTCCGACCACAGTTATTCCCATGGGTTTGATTATTGCGGTCGCCGGATTTCTAATTATTTGCAATGTTTTCTTACAGGAACATACATTAAAAACATTTCTGGCAAGTTACATTAAACATTAAAAAGTTACATTAAAAATGTTTCTGGCATTAATGTGCATTAATGTTATATATATTTTTTTTTTCGTTAAAAAAGCAGGAATCTCATGCGACAATACAAAACAGCATTGCTGCTTGAGGATAATTCAGACAAATGAACACATTGGATAATTACAGTAAGTGGAGCAAAGCCACACCGCATGCAACTTGATCTTTCATTGTTAACAGTTAAATATATTTGATAAAACATGCGCAACATTTTTACACTAGAAAACCCATTTTCTGAAGGCAATGTACCTAATATGATTTGCTGAAACTGCCCCTTTAAATTCAAGATCAATGTAGTGAATTTTGACGCTCTCGCCGCTAGAGCTGAAGGCAGACAGTGTTGTCGACAGGGCGACCAGAGCGACCTTTGATGTTCTCACCGCCTTCTGTGTGAACGTACAGTAAGAGTCAGTTGTGTCTTTCTCTCTTTCGTAGATATAGAAACGGTGTTGTTCAATCCACTGAAGTCATCCATAAGCCTACATAATTAATTTCGTTTGTTAAGTGCAAAGATTTGTTTCAAAACTATTTCTAAATTCAGTTCTAGTTTACAGCAAAAGAAAAAAAAATTCTGATTAAACATGTTTTCTTGTTGTTGCTTTTTTTAACCATAAAACCAAAATCGAGTGTAGTAGTGCAACAGGATTATGTTTGTTTGTTTGTTTGTTTGTTTTAAACCAACACAATAGTTTACACTGTGTAGTGTAAACTAAAATTTAAAACAGTCATTCTTTAAAACAGTCAAACTATGGTCAAACATTTGGTAAAGCAGGCAGTTAAAGGGGTAAAAGGGATATTGAACCCACAAATGTAAATAACCATCAGTCCACTCAATATGTAGAGATTAAATAAAGTTTCTTAGCTGAAATGATGATCATTCATGATTTGTATTTATCTAACATCAGGAAACTGTTAACTCGTCTTTCTAAATAGGACGATTAGTAATCAAGATAAGTATTAATGTTGGTATATCTGTATTGAACATTAATTTGTTGAACACATAACTAACCAGCTAAATTTTCACTTATTTTTTATGTTCAACTGCAGAAAGACAGTGACCTTCATCTTCAATGGTCTGAGCATGAGTAAATGAAAAGCTAATTTTCATTTCTGGGTGAACTCACATTGTAAGTCACATAGTAAATGTGGAAATGCCTTTAAAATACTCAGAATATCAAACAAAGTGGCATTTAAAGAATTTTAAATAAATACCCTTTAAATAAATGACTTTTCAGACAAAATATTTCACAAAAAGAGTTCAAATTTCTTTGAATACTGCACTGTAAAAAATGCTGGGCTCCACACAATTCCTTCATGTTCTCCCAATGCAAAACGATTGTGTTAACAATCATTTTTACAGATTTAAATATCTGTTTAAGCATCTATTGAACATAAAACAATTAAGTGTCCCCAAACAAACTTAAGAATCGTGTTGTTTGCACTCATTTTAAAGCAATAGTTTGAAAAGGAAATTAAAATCTTTTTTAAGTGTGTTCAAAGAAAAATAAGCAGCCTCACAGCAATAAGGCTGCTGGCTGAAGCCCGGCTGGGTCAGTTGTCATTTCTGTGTAGAGTTTGCATGTTCTCCCCGTGTTTGCGTGAGTTTCCTCCGTATGCTAGGGTTTCCCCTACAAGTCCAAAAATCATGCGCTTTAGGTGAATCTGTAGTGTACTAGTGTGAATAAGTGTGTGTGGATGTTTCCCAGTGATGGGTTGTAGCTGGAAGGGCATCCGCTGCGTAAAACATACTGAATGCTGCATAAGTTGGCAGTTCATTCCGCTGTGGCGACCCTGGATTAATAAAGGGACTAAGACAATGAAAAAAAATGAATGAATGAATAATCATCAACCATTAACGTGACAGTAGAATATTTGTGCAAACGTGAAAGGAAGTGACATCAAACTGCCTCAAAAAATCACTTTGTAACACCAGCTGCCTGGATTGCAAAGAGCCATTCCAATTAAGTATGAGAAAAGCTCTATTATCATTTGCTTGCAGAAACCACTTAGTCTGACAATTAATCTAATAGCATTGCAACATATGCAAGTGTGCCTTACAGTTTGTCTAAAAATGGCTTTCATTCATTCATTTTCCTTCAGCTTAGTTCATTAGTCGTCACAGCGGAATGAACCACCAACTACTCCAGCATATGTTTTACACAGTGGATGCCCTTCCAGTCACAACCCAGTACTGGAAAACACTCATAGACACTCATTCTAACACACACACACACTCATACACTTTGACCAATTTAGTTCATCCAATTCATCTATACTGCATGTCTTTGGACTGTAGGGGAAACTGGAGTAGACAGAGGAAATCCATGCAAACATGATGAGAACATGCAAACTCCACACAGAAATACCAACTGGCCCAGCCGAGACTTTAACCAGCGACCTTCTTGCTGTGAGGCAAAAGTGCTAACCGTTGAGCCGTTTGAATCAACACAAGTATTGAGTTTTGTGGGAAACAAATTAATTTGTTTTATGTTCAAACCTCCTAAATTTGGAAAAACAATAAAGTTAACTTAATCAATTTGTGTTGGGAAAGCATAAAGATATTGTGTGGAACCCTCCATTTTTTACCGTGTAAGCACATTAAAGTACAATCTTATGCCCAGAAATCCTATTAGTCAAATAAATTGTTGGCAAAGTGATGAAACCAATGACAGAAATACATCAAATATATATACACACAGGTAGATTATCTAAATCATTATTTTCTGATTCTACACATTACAGTATATATCAGAGCAGTGGTTACTTATTTAAAATGTTCAAGCTGCTGTGTTGAAATGTTGTTAGTGTAGTAGTGGTTAAAGTTTTTGTCTGTCTGCAGTTTGAGTGCAGTGTGCTGTGACAGAGAGAGATTACACAACACTGATGGAGGAGAGCGAGCAGAAGGCCATGTATAATTCAGGCCAATTATCCTCAATGTAATCAGAGCCTCATTCTCCCTCACTGCATTCAGGTAGCAGGACAGTACAACTGGACACTACCTCACACACACACACACATACTCATATACACAGAGTGCGTTGCCTGGAAACGAATGTGAAAGCATGAATGGTTCTGACAACAGATTGTAAGTGCTTCATATGGACTGTGTGACCCTAATGTTAATCAGCACTCCTCTTAATCAGCATTTTGTCATGTTGCCATACACACACAGCTACAATAACATACATTATAATAGTTTTGTAACTTTTATTAAAATCTTTTTTAAAGCACAGCACAAAGGGATACATGTAAACTGTATTTACAGTAACCTATTAATATTACAGTTCATTTTATTACAATATTTCCTTGGTTTTGGTTTCATCATCACTAACTCCTTACATTTTTGTTATATAAACAGTGGGTACAGTAATCTTCCTTCAAATCAGACCCCCCTTCAATCTTTCACTCTTTGGTTTATTGCAGCCATTTGCTAAAATCATTTATGTCCTTTTTTTCCTCATTAGTATGCACACAGCACCCCATATTGACAGAAAAACACAGAATAGTTGACATTTTTGCTGATTTATTAAAAAGAAAAACTGATATATCTGGTGGAAATATATAGTCCTAAGTATTCAGAATCTGTGCTGTGATACTCATTTATTTAACTCTGAATGGACTTGATTAGGAAAGCCACACACCTGTCTATATGAGACCTTACAGTTCACAAAGCATGTCAGAGCAAATGAGAATCATGAGGTCAAAGGAACTGCCTGTAGAGCTCAGAGACAGATTTGTGGCAAGGCACATATCTTAGCAATGTTACAAAAGTTCCCAGAAGTGTGATGGCCTCCACATAAGACGTTTGGGATGATAAGAACACTTTCTAGAGCTGGCTGTCTGTCCAAACTGAGATATCGGGGAAGAAGAGCCTGAGAGAGGTAAAGAGGAACCCAGAGATCGCTGTGGCTGAGCTCTAGAGATGTACAGTAGTTGAGTGATGGGAGAAAGTTGTAGAGAGTCAACCATAACTGCAGCCCTCCACCAGTCAGGGCTTTTTGGCAGAGCGGCCCGACGGAAGCCTAAGTGCATGATACGTGAAAGCCAGCATGAAGGACTCCAAGATGGTGAGAAATAAGATTCTCTGATCTGATGAATCAAGATAGAACTTTATTCATTCATTTTCTTTACGGCTTATGCCCTTTATTAATCTAGGGTTGCCACTGCTTTCCAGCAGTAACCTATCCAGCAGTAACTGCTTTCCAGCAGTAACCTATCACTGGGAAGAATCCATACACTCTCACATTCACTTCGGACAATTTAGCATACTCAATTCACCTATGCCACATGCCTTTGGATTTGTGGTGAAAAACCCAGAGCACTCGAAGGAAACCCATGCGAACATGGGGAGGCAATCGTGCTACCCCCTGGGCAACTGTGACCCCCAAGATAGAACATTAAGGCTTAATTCTAAGCAGTGTGTGTGGAGAATATCATGCACTGCTCATCACCTGTCCAATACAGTCCCAACAGTGAAGCATCGTGGTGTCAGCTGCAGGGACAGGACGAGTGGTTGCAAGCAAGGGAAAGATGAATGCGGTACAAGTACAGGGATATCCTGAACGAAAACCTTCTCCACAGTGCTCAGGACCTCAGACTGTGCCGAATATTTACCTTCCACCAAGAAAAGCACAAAGCTAAAATAGCAAAGTAGTGGCTTCACAAGAACTCAATGACTGTTTTTAAATGACCCAGCCAGTGCCCTGATCTAAACCCAATTGAACATCTCTGGAGAGACCTAAAAATGGCTGCCCACCAACATTTACCATCACACCTTACAGAACTGTAGAGGATCTGTAAGAAGGAATGGCAGAGGACCCCCAAATCCAGGTGTGAAAAACCTGTTGCATCTTTCCCAAAAAGACTCATGGCTGTATTAGATCAAAAGGGTGCTTCTACTAAGAACAAAGGGTCTGAATACTTAGGACCATGTGATATTTCATTTTTTTAAATAAATCTGCAAAAACGTCAACATTTCTGTATTTTTCTGTCAATATGGGATGCTGTGTGTACATTAATGAGGAAAATAACTATATTCAATGATTTTAGAAAATGGCTGTAATATAACAAAGAGTAAAAACTAAAGGGGATCTGAATACTTTCCGTACCCACTGTAAATATTATACAGCAGACAGGAGACAGGAAAACTAGTTAATCACAAATACAGATTTAGATTTTTTGTGTATGTGGAATGACATCTCCTTATAAGTCTGTGTGTTTAAAACCAGCTAAATGATTTTGCAACCTATCGCCCTAATTTATCTGTGTTACACATTAATGACTGGGAGTCGGAAAGTTCTGACATAACTAGAGTGCCTCACATCTTTGTTATGTACTGTATGAGTTAAACGAGGGAGTGAGAGCAAAGGCAGAGGAAATTTGAGAGAGATTGAGGGGGGAAGTCTTGTTTATATGAAAAAACTAAGAAAGAGTGGGGACAAAAAGCAAGTCTGGCCCTCGCTCAGCCTGCATTACTGTTTTTCATTACCAGCCGATTTCCCACTACACTCGTCTCACAGTTTGACTCAACCTTTTGAATTTTGTTATAAGTTTCTTTATTCCCCTCAAGCCTTTTTAAGTTATTACCCAAAGGGCTCAGACTCATTAAACAGTAGAAAAGGGCAAACGCTAACAGACGCCAATTCGTACAGTAACTCAGCGCTTTTCATTTAAGCGAAACGCTTTGATTCACCACCAAAACTTGTATCACAGCATGTGGCAACAAATTACTGCCACTGTGAAGTACTTCCACAGCTATAAATCTGCAAATTTTACGCCTGTGGGTGCTGGGAATTGTGTTGTTTTTTTTCTTGGTGAGTTATTTATGCGTGTATGTCCATAGTGTAGGACTGAACTCCAGAAATAGACTCGGAGTGTAAAGTAGTGTTATCAAAGGACGTAGCTGTGCTTGTTATTCCGCCTCTTATTTTTCCCGCCTCTTTTTCCCTTGTGGTAATGAGCCAATGGATACACAAGTAAACGCACAGCCTCAAATGGGCCGTATCAGTAACACGGGGACAGAAATAGACTGGGTTGATGGGAGGATAAATGGGGTGTTAAAATGGGTGAGCGTGTTAAAAACCTCTGTGTTTTCTCAAATCTGCTTGCTCAAAGTGTGAGAGGAAGTTTGCTTGGCACAGACAGACAGACAGACAGAAAAAAAGAGACACACTCACATGTTTGATAAAAAGTTGCGCCAGTCGTTTAGGCTCGGCCACACATTTCTCCAGCTCGGCCAGGAAATAACTAGGAAGAGATCAGACGTATAACTCAGCATTAGTCAGTAGCAGGGCCAATCGACTATTTTTTTCTAAAAACGTGTTATGTAAAATGAGTTTGATCTGAACTTTCTGGAAGTTTTGGAAACATACTTAAAGTCCTGTAAGATTTGTAATACACAAAACACACACACACACACACAAATTATTGTAAACACATCTATCTATGTATCTATGTATCAACAAGGAAGCATTTTATCGCGCTTATTTTTTTCTCTTTACACAAATGAGCTTAAGGTTGAACATTTAGGTTTTAAGTTATTTAAATATGCAAATGATAGCATTTGTTGGCCAGTGGACTAAAACAGAAAGATATCTCGTACCATAATTGTATAAATTTGCTTCAAAATTGGTGTAAAAGGAGTTCACAAGAGATAATTTATATTAAAATGATGATAATTCACAGGTTGAGGGACATGGAATAGAGGCAGTTGGGTGTTTAAAATATTTAGGACCATTTAAAGATAGTGGATTGACATTTGCATTTACAAAAGCAATGCAGGGATTATATCTTATAGGAGGGTTACAACTATTTGGTGTGAGTCAAGATATTCGGGATATACAGTTGAAGTCAGAATAATTAGCCCCTTTTTTATTTCTTTCCCCCAATTTATGTTTAGTATTTTCCACAATTTATTATTATTGAAATTATGTTTAATTTCAGTTTTTTCCTCAATATATTTCTAAACAAACTAGTTTTAATAACTCATTTTTAATAACTGATTTATTTTATCTTTGCCATGATGACAATAAATTATATTTAACAAGATTATTTTTAAGACACTTCTGTACAGCTTAAAGTGACATTTAAAGGCTTAACTAGGTTAATTAGGTTAACTAGTCAGGTTAGAGTAATTAGGCAAGTTTTTGTAAAATGATGGTTTGTTCTGTAGACTATCAAAAAATATTGCTCAATGGGGCTAATATTTTTGACCTTAAACTTTTTAAACTGCTTTTATTATAGCCAAAATAAAACAAATAAGACTTTCTCCAGACTAAAAAATAATTTTTAAGCATACTGTAAAAATGTTCTTGCTCTGTTAAACATAATATGGGAAATATTTAAAAGAGAAAAAAAAATTCAAAGGGGAGCTAATAATTCTGACTTCAACTGTACAAGAAAGTTGGTTGAAAATGTTGTCAGTATTAACTTGATTGCAAGGTATAGACTGTTGCCAATTAAGAAAAAGCAAAAACTGTGTCAAGTAGTAAAAATTGCCAGTACAATTGCCACAAAGACAACTAAATTACATTTATTTCATAAGAATTAAACAGAAAGAATGTAAGCAATTCCATGAAAAGTCAAATATGCCATGAAAAAGTTTTCACCAAAATAGTAAAACCCTTTAAATTTTTTTTGTGTAGGCTTGTATTTCACAGTACTGTAAAAAATACTCATAAATGTCTCTGACAATGTTTTCAATCAATTATATTAGATTTACCAAAGTCGCACTAGTGGCATTTTTAAATGTCACATCCATAGACAGGTGTGGCATCCATAACAAAAGTTTTTTCCTCAAATACAAAAATGTCAAATAAAATAAAATCAATCATTTTTGTTTAATAGAGAGCCGACTCTTATCCTTTTGATTAGCTTTGTTTCTTATAGGTTGTGTAGTTTAATTCACAGAATTTCTACAAAGTATGGTGTATACTTTAAACTTGCTTACTTTTTTGTCACATACATGTCTATTTTCCTTATTTAAAATATATATATTTTTTACAGATTAACAAATTTTGCATCTCATAACTCTGTGGTTATTTGTTTTGGGAATAGAAACATATGTTTTAATATACTGTTAACATATACATTCTCTGAGAATTTATGTTTTGAGTCTTAACTGCAAATGTCACATCCGTAAGACTGGAATTGCACACATGTCATTATTGAAAATTGTTCCCATCCCTTAAACATAAAATTTCAGCTCTTGCCATCAAAAAAGACATTTTAGACAACGTCAAGTAAAGAAAAGTGTGTATAAGATGTCCTTTCTGCTGACTGCTATCAGAATTTTGAATACTGGATTTTGTAGTATGTATAGGGTTGATTGAGTTTTTAATGTGATTTATGTGTTGACATTGAATGTATTCGTGTTGCCTGTTTTCATTGATATATGTGATGTGAACGCTGATATGGTTGTGTGGTGAAGCCAAAGATAAATTTCCACTTATGGACAATAAATAAAAGTCAAGTAAAAGTCAAAAACAGATTAACCCACTCTTTATGCCAGTCGTAGATCTGATGAATATTCCCGAACACTATTTTGTCTTTTCCCTTCATGTCTTCTGGAATTCCTTTCACATTCATAGTAGCCATGTAGCCCTGCGTGAAACAGAACATGATGAACTTTCACAGCTCACGTCTCGTAAAAACGCTCCTTTTCATGATTAAATCTGAGGCATTTAAACTGTAATGATAAAATATGACCCCCATAAAAATGTAGATCATCTCATTCCAAATATTTTCAAATCCAGACACCATTATTTTGATTTACTCGGTGATCACTATTATAGCTGATAGAAATCCAGGTCAGTTAATACATCAGATTTAATTCTTCTGTGATTAATTGTTCTGAAATACATTTGAATCATTCTTACAACTGTAAAATGACAGTGCTCCATAACAGAGCTGATCAAATCCACGTGTGATTTGTTAATTGACATTTTAACCACCGCATCAAAAGCTCACCTCCACAATAAGTCCTAGATCGGCGACATACAGCTTTTCTGTCTCTATTAATTCGTTCAGAACATACCTGCAACAGAAAGGAGGTCAGCGTTCACTGCTTTCATCAAGTCTTTTAATGCATTAACATTATGTGACGGCTTAAAGCATGTGATGTGAGTAATGTATAGGGTGTAATATTAGCAGAGTTCTGACTGGCGCAGCACATTAATAATCTAGAAGCTATTTATGGACAAGATGAAAGGCCCTTTTATTGCTTATAATTGCCTCTTTATGCTGGCAGCTGTTTTGGAACACATTTGCTGGTTTGAGATGGTCATTAGCTCAATTAAAGTCATGTGCTGCTCTAGGGTGAACTTTAGCTAGTCTGTAGCTGATTAATATGGTCTATGAATTAATATTAGATAATCTAAATTAAGATTATTGTTATTATTTGATCAAAGATATCTAGAAATTCCTCCTAGATGCCATGTTCCAAAACCTGTTATGGCTAGGATTTAGATGATCTCTAGTCATTAAACGGTCCAAGCTGGTGATTATCTAATCTAATGATAATCTAATTTCAGACATAGTTGGCGGTGAGAATTTCAGCAGTGAAATGTCCCACATCAAACCTGCCTTCCAGATTTTCACCGCGTGAGATCTGAATACCTCATAACATTGTTATTGTGCCAACTATGGCTAAAACAAACATAATAGTAACATGCTAGCTGTCCTTTAAATACAGCTGAACAAAAATAACATTATATGTTGCACTATAAGGATGATATAATCTCAAAAATAGCCTTTATTAGTAGAAATCCTACTCATTGAGGGTACAAACATTTGTTTACATGTTTCACATAAGGTAGCTCCATGCTAATCTAGCTAAAGCAGAACTAGCCACCATCTGTGAAGTGTTGTTAAATGGTCTCACTGAAGTGAGGGTTGTTTGATCTGCCCCAAGTTCACAGGTCAGATGTACTTAGCTGGTTCTAGATGATCTTAGCTGGTTTACCAACTATCATGTTCAAAAAAAAACATGGTAAAAACAAGCTGGTAGCTTCCAGATGGTTAAAATGGTCATTAGTTGGCCAGTCATTAGTTATTTAAGAAGGTCATTAGCGAGACTAAGATGTTCTTTAGCTTGAATTTTCATTAGCTAAATTGATTTGAATCAGCCGATTAGAAACTGGAAGGGGGTATTAAAGCTGGTTAAAATGGTTGTGTTGGAGAAAATGAATTTATTTTTGTGTTTTCGTTTATTAGAAAAATGTTTAGACTAACAACAGATTAATCAATCTTTCTCTTTTGTATTATAAAACATCTTGACCAGACAAACGTCCTCTTTTTTACTGTGCTGCATACTTTTTAGAAGAACTGCTGACTAGTGGAAAAAGCAGAATAAGAATAAATTGAGGGTGGGGGCCTTTGTTCCAGAACTTTAGTCTAGACATGTCACAAGTTGTCATGATGCTTGTAGAAGTTGTGAAATATATTAAAGATGCACGTAATTGTTCAGTTCTGGTATGCAGAGAAAGGGTGCAGACAGAGGAAGTAATGTCTAGGGCTACAAAGGGCCAATGGAGGACTGAACAATGACTGACAAGTGACGTTACACCAAAACTCCACCTGTTAAGATCAGTTGTGTATATATGCTGGAGTCAGGAAATGTATGTTTGGGAATCTCCTGAATGTAATTCTTGTATTGCATTGGGGTAACGTAACCCAGAGCTCTGACATCGAATTATTCATTTGTATCAAATAAATTACTAATATTTTTGGTATTGAAGAAAAAACTCTCCAGACCTTTTCTTATTGAACACGCATGGAATTGGCTAGATATTCCAACAGTTGCAACTGGTTAAGATGGTCATAAGCCCATCCATTAAAAATATGTGCCTCAGTCCAAATTTTTGTAAAGTGTTAAATTCATGGCTCCAGGTATGTTTCGCTGCACGTTTCAGATTGCAAATCCTATAGAGGATGCTGTTTCCATTTGTGTATATATGACATACAATACTTTTAAGTACACATTAGGTTTTGTTGTACACTCGTATATGTATTCTTGTTGTATTCACTCTTATATTTCAATGTGGTCATGTCGTTGGTTCATGAATATTTCTTCTTGTTTTCAAACTATTTCATAACTGTAGGAAGAGGCAATTCAATAACATCTTCATGTTAAAAGAGCTCTTATAAGATTATTTATCAATATGCGGCTCCTTTTGGATTCTCGAAAGCTATAGAAATTAAAAATGTAATTCAGGAAATATGTTGGGACTATTGTTTTCGTTTACATCCCTCAAAATGGACTATTGTAAGTCCACAAAGCAGGACTTGTCATATAAATCACAGTTGTCAGCAAACCATTGCCATAAACCCTTTCTTAAACCTACCCAATAGAGTTTTTAAAAGAAAACAGGAGAAAAGTACACTGAAACCACACATATTACCATGATTTTACACTGCTTTTACCTCTTGAAAACCATGCTTTGCCTGACCTAAACAGGGACAGATTTGGGGGACCCGTAAGTCCTACAGTAACATGCACACTGCGATTTGTATTTATTTATTTAGCAGTCTTTTTCAATGCAATTTCTACATTTTAAGATGTGTTTGCATAAAATATGTTCACAACTAAAAACAATGAACAAACTATTTGTAAACCAAATGTTGTATCTGATTTGACTGCTGGACTGATCCATGATTATGGTTGGGGGGACACATTTGCACAGATGTACTAATTAAGCTAAATTTGTATTGTTAGACCCTTAGCCTACAAAATATGATAGAAAATGACATTATATGTAATTTATAGAAACTTCTAGGTACTTATTGTGGGCCCTCAGACTTTCCGGGGCCCTAAGCGGCCACTTAACTTAAATCCACCCCTGGACCTGAAACCAATCTCTCTGTCACAACAATGTACAATATGAGCTACCAAGCAAACTGACCATGTTTAAAATATGTTGATAAATGTATTCATTTATAAATCCGAGAAACTGTTGAGTTGCTTTGCAGTTTCACTGATTTGGTGTTGTGCAAATAACTGCATGAAAATAATCCTTTATTTATCGATAATATGCCCGTCTAAATATAATTAGTATGAAAAATTATGTGGATAGCCTTATACTGCCCCATAGCATTCATTTTACCAATACATGGCAGTCAAATATAGGTTGAAGTACTTTACGTTTTTGTGGTTTCACAAAAACAAAGGCTGTAGCACATATTTTCCTGAGCCCGTTGTCAATAGTTGGTCCCAGCTAGATAATGACCATCCACAGAATGACCATCACCTGGTCAAAGATTATCTTCAGTTGGTTGAAAACAAGCATTTTCAAAAACCTAGTTTGTGGTACCACTTTGAACCAGTTAATGACCACCAACCAACTTAAACCAAACTCTCCATCAGAGATGATGTCATTGTGGTGTGCTAATGAACATCTGATGACTACTTTGTAAAATACTGCAAATTTAAAAATAAGTCATTAAAAAAAAGTTCTAAATTAAAACCTCTTACAATAAGCTGACTAAAAAAAGGAATTTACTATGTACACAAGTTACAAATGAAGAAGACATGCTTCACACACACATGCTTTTTTCTAAGGCACTCTTCCGATCTTCTTCGGTGTCTGCGCAGGCTGATGATTGGCTGGAGTTGTCATCCATCAAAACCGAGCCGTTGTCGTCAGCTTGTTGGCTGGTACATTGGCTGATCTGCAGACACACAGGGCATAACTGCGAATAAGCAACGAGGCTTCATTCTGAAAGGATCTTCACTATGGGGAAGGCTGCAGGGGCAGAGAAGGAATAACACAGAGGAGAGGGAAGATATGAGCTGTTCTAATAGCTCAGGTTGCCTAGGTGACAGAAAAGGAGCATGACAGTGACTGAATGATAACTGGAATACAGAGCTTACCAATAATGATGACACCAGACAGGCAGAGTAGATGCATTACCCTGAATCTCAATGCCACTGACCCCAGTGAAGTCACCATGTTCTCAAAAGCTATGTTTCCAGCCAAAGATGTGAAATAGATTTATACACACGCAAGTCGAACATCACATAAAACATTTGCGACTAAAGTCAAATAGATTAGAATCGTATCTTTCTGATAAAACTGGCATCAATTATCAAGAAAAGAATGGAATATGCAGCGATAGGAAAATCCAATATGGGGCTTTTTTGCTAATTTAATAAATTACTTGCACCTCAGAAGATGAAAATGAATTACAATGAATGTGTGGTGGCTTTTAAATGTGCAAGACAAAGCCACTTGGAAATAAATAAGACAGTTTAGAAGTTAATAATACTAAACCACTTTGATGAATGACGGTTAAGGGATTTTAGAATAACCAAGAAATCTTAGAATGTACTGATCTTGTAATGTAATGTAACGTAATGTGTATTTACAGTATATAGCGCATTTATTGTGTATGGCCATACACCCAAATCGCTTCACAATTATGATATGGGTCTCTTTAGAAGACTTATAAATCTTCTAAAACAAAATCACATGACTTTTTTGATGTGCATGCTTGAATTTTTTGGTGAATGTTTTTTCATGCTTTTTTTTTTTTATCGTACCCAGTTGTGCACATGTGTTTTTTGTGCACATTTTCAAATTTAATGTGCATCTTGTAGTTTCCATTAAGCATTTTCTATGTAATATTCCAAAATTTGCATTAAAATTGGTGGATGAAACATAGCTACAGACCTTTGATATGATTGTTGATATGGACCATTGTTGTAGCGGAGGACAGATGTGCACACTTCTCTGCAGGTTATTCAATGATTTAAGACGGAAAAGGGAAGTCTGAAGACGTCCTGTCTTTGTTAATGCGTTTGTTGACCATATCAAAGGTAAAACTAGGACATAAACTATCCTCACTCATTGTCACGTCCCTCACTGTGATTTCTAGCCATGCTTCGTAAGGATTTCAGTAACTCAGAAGTAAGATTTTCTACAAATATGAGCAAAAATATTTCTCCAAGGCTGCAAGTTCTTGTTTAGTTATTGTTAATTCAAATACAATTTACCTTCAATTTTAGATGATAAAAGGGAATGGTACTGTGCAACCACAAAACATACAAAAAATTATTCAGATTTTTTTCTAACCTTTTTTAAGAATGTTCATAACTTTTAGAGGAAAATGTTGGTTTATTTGCAGGGAAAAAAAGACACCTCTTAAAATACTTTCTTTAATGTCACACAAAAGAATGTATTAAGAAAAGTATAATGCTGATACTGTTAATCTCAATCAAAATGAAAAAAAAATATGAAACATATTTGTTTTTAATCTGAAAAAAAACTGAAAACCTGAAATAAAATAACAAATTGTGCTAAAAAACATGAAAATGCTGTCTAAGCAAGTTTAACTGAAGTTTAACTGAAGTATTAAAATGATTACAATTTTAATTAAATAAAAAACAACCTTCGAGCATTAAACTTAAAATTAACATCTTAAAGTAAACAGAAATATTTAAAATAAGAAAAGATAATAATATGGATTAAAGTATGTTTATTTACCTTTCAGTTTAAACTCAATGAAAATGAGAAATGTTGCCTTGCCACTTTTTATTTTAGTTAACATTTATTTTATTTATTAATAAAAATGTTTAACTCTTTAACTACCAAGAAAAAAAATTGGACTGCTAATGTTGCTAATGTTGCTAGTTAACACACTCAATGCATCAAGGCAAAACACAGCCCATAATTTTTAAAATATCAACTTCTACCAAATGGTTGATATGTCGGTTTATGGTAAAAGTATTGAAATTAATGTATATGAAAATCAGGAAAATATGAAGTGTGAGACCAATTTACTTTTAAAAAAATTATGAAAATAGAAAAATTGTCAATATTAAATCATCTTTACCTTTTTAAAATATGCCATAAAATATTTCAGTTTCTCACTTAATGTTTTCTTTTCTTATTTACAATAAACCAAAATCAAGTGTAGTAGCACAACAGGATTTTGTTGGTTTGATTTCTTAAAATGATCTAAACAGTCCTCATTTAAAACAGTGAAATTATAGTAGAGTAGAGCAGGCAATTAAATGGTTTATGGTTTACATTTAATTTTATTTATGGAAATCTTAATGTTATTAAGACACCATTTATCACTATTTAGCATCCATTATTAGTTACTTCTCCACAAAACTAAACAACAGCATTGGCCTTCTAACTGATTTAGATTCCTCTGTGTGGTGTAAAATAATATGAATCACCACTGTTGTGTGACAAAATCAATAGCAGACCTCAAGACATATATATATGGTGGGGTCCGTGCAGTGGCCATAACTAATAACAACAAAAAAATAACCAGTGCCAGTGTTTTTCCAATAGTAGTGCACATCAACACACACATCCCCCTTTTGTTAGAATCAAAAACCTCTACAAACACAAAAAAGCCATTACACTTATTTATTGTGTTTTTCCTGCCTATTAAACACACTAAAGGCCAGATAGATAAGATCTGCCCTTTAACCAGAGCTGTTTAGCAGCTTGCGTAACGTCACAATCACCTGTGGAGCATCACTTTATCTTCATTCTTAAGACCCCGGTGTGTGTCTCTCTCTCTCTCTCTTTCTCTCACACACAATACACTCCTTCCACTACAGCATCACACATCCTCCACAAAACCAGCATTCCTTTGCTCAGACCTTATGATGGATAGCACATCCCAGTTTTTTTTAGATTGTTTGTTTATCAAAGCTTCACAAAGCACTTTCTTGGCTTAAGAAGAGGTTGTTATTGTGTTGTGTGTGTGAGTAATGTGACACAATATGTTCAGAAATGATGTGGATTACAATGAACGGATGTTACTTGCATCATTTGATCATAGTCAACCTCATATTGCTCCACGTCCGAGCGATCGGCGAAACACAAAAGGACTTCTTTTGAATATTTTGTACTAGATGTTCTTTTGCATTCAATTAAAGTAAAAAGGACTGAAGATTTCAAGCTTCACCAAGAATATAAAAGCATCATGTGGTTTTTATCGTTTGTGCACTATATTCCAAGACTTTTAAAGCCGTGTACTGTAACTGCTCTTTTGAAGAGAGCGAATGAAATTTTAGCCATTATACTGTGTCTACATCACTTCACAACAGCTAGAGGCGTCTACATTCGAAATAACAAAGTGCTCATTGCAAATCATTTGTCCTTCGTGTCATCAGTTGTGGCATTAGTTTAGTATTATTTATTACTCATATTGTTCATTCATTCATTTTTTTTTTCGGCTTACCCAATTCACCTACTACATGTCTTTGGATTTATGGGGGGAAACAGGAGCACCTGGAGGAAACCGATGCGAACATGGAGAGAACATGCAAACTCCACACAGAAATGCCAACTGACCCATCCGATGCTCGAACCAGCGACCTTCTTGCTGTAAGGCAATTGTGCTACCAACTGCCCTACCTTGACACCCACTGTTATTCATTTTATAATATATTATTTACTATTAATTCTCATATAGCACAATAAGTTTTGCCAGAGCAGAAATGGTCATGCCCAATTGAGCCAGGTTTCTTTTGAGTTTTTCCCCTTTATTTTAGTCAATTAGTGTAGTTTTGTTCCTCGTCACTGACGGCTTGTTTGGTTTGGGACTTTGGAATTATTCTTTAGTATATAGACTAAACTGAACTTCAACTGGACAGACACAGTTTCAATTTGCTAAAACGTCTATGTTAAGCTGCTTTGAGCCAATCAACAATCTACATTATTAAAGTGCAATAGAAATAAAGATGAATTGAATTGGATTGAATACCGCTGGTGAATTGTTATCAAAACATCACCATATGTGACCCTAGAACACAAAAACAGACTTAAGTGAATAATTATCCTTTCCATTGAAGTATACTGTGTAAAATAAATCTAGATCTGTTTTTTTTTTATCTTAATACTGAGAAAACCACATTAAATGTGACCAAATAAAGTGCTTAGCAATGCATTTTTAATAATCAAAAGTTTTGATATACAGTGATCCCTTGCTATAACATGTTTCACTTTTCACGGCTTCTCCCCAAAAGGCAGAAAAAGATGCTAACCACCGTTCAAAAAGCTGAATTTCTGGACATGCTAAAGGAAGGTGTTAAGCGCTGGTAGGGCGTCATTACGGATTAAATAAATAAAGATCAAATGGTTTTCATCCTATAATACTGGACTTATTTTTCTACAAAGGTTTGAACTTTGAGAGTGTTTAAACAATAATACTTTTTTTTATATTTATTAAACAAGAGAGAAAAATGTAAATATGCTAATGTCTGTTTGAGAAAGGTGTATAGAATGGGTAGTGAGGGGTTTTACAGACTTAAAACATCTATAATAATTGTGAAAAAATAAGCTGACTACTTCACGGATTTCTTCTATTGCAGGTTATTTTTAGAATGTAACTCTCACAAATAACAAAGGACCACTGTATTTACATTAGGGAAGATTCAAAATATCTTAATGTAACATGAACTTTCCTTAATATTCCAATAATTTTGGGCATAAAAGAAAAATCAATTTGACCCTTAAATTGTATTGATTTTTTTAAAGCTATTGACAAATTGTACCTCTGCAAATGTTATGCTTTGTTAATTGCTGTGCGTTTGCCTCGAAAAGTGCCTGTAAATACAAGGCATTATTATGATTATTATTATTAATTTGGTCTCCTCACAGCAGGAAGATCGCTGGTTTGAGTCCTAGCTGGGTCAGTTGGCATTT